ACATGGTGATTCTTTCAATTATTGATTCATGCATTGTATCCGACTATGCGCAAGTGTGCAAAATTTCAGATTAATTGGACAGGTAGAAGTGTGTTAATATCGATTATAAGATTTGTAGCACACAAACAAGAAGTGAAGTTTAATAAAAGTGTTGTAAAAAGAGTAAATTTTCATCATCTTCATCTAGTTTCGGGAACCGGCCAGTTACATCGCTCATTGATTTACTGAATCTAATGTAGTTTATAGTTGATTTGGAATTGCTATTGTTTTTCGAATAATGTAAATAAAATGTTGAAATTGAATGATGTTTGAGAAAAAAATGAGTTCACGTACACTTTTTCCACGCCTTCGTACAACGCCACCATATTGTTTGCTCAAATTAATGTCTACGTTTGAATTTGGTGTTTATTGGAAATAACCATCGACCTACACGAAGAACAAAATCGTCTGTTATGCCAATTCACGTTGAATTTTAAGTTCATATTTTTTATTTGATATAAGTTCATCAGTATTCCATAGTAAACGCTAACATCAAACAGACCACTCACGATGTAGTTTAAAATTCAACAAAATCTCAATACGGAGCGAGCGATACGCAAGCCAATCAATCTACTACGGCCGAATTAATATTCATTGTCGTACTGATTCTTTTTATGCAATGACTCGGCAGAATTGTAAATGAATCACTCTGAAATGAAAGAATGAATCCCAATTGAAAGCTTTAAATCAGCGTAGGTATTCCCAGAACTATTTATGTTGAAACAAGATTGTTTGGTCGGCGTATGGCTTATCATGGGACGCTGATTATCAATCAACTAACTTTTTTTTTTTNCCTCCCACATTCACCATTCCAACAAAAAAAAAAAGGAATTGATTTTAATAATTAAAAACAGGGAATGGTTCAAATCAACTAACTAATTATCAATGATTACAATGTACCACTTATATTTTGAAAATGGTGGCACCAATTTTCCAGTGTAAACGTCGTTTTAATGAGATACAAGGCGTATTCTAACAGAATGAGTCATGTTGTCTAAATGAATGGGTCCATATAGTGTGACACATTTTCTGCAGGTAGCAGTGATACATAGCTTTGCCATTCAAAACTGGGTCATTATAACCCACAGAAGTACAAGATGTCCATCGCAATATGGACGGAGCCACTCAATTTCTTTGAGTGTACCTGCCCACAGATTATGAGAACCACAAACAATGACGGAAACAAGAGACTGCAAGGTTCAACAAAATTTCGACAAAAGATACTTATAGAGTTGCATCAAAACGTTCAGAAATAGACCAAAACAATAAGTATAGGATTCTAAAGGCTTGGAAACTGATCGTAACTTACGTTGGATGTCGAGGAATCTTTAACGAAACAAAATCAAGAGACTACAGACACGACGATGGGTCATCTAACTAAGATGGTTGTGATATGAACGAAGGTTAACATATAGGAAAAGCCTAGACTGATGGTTCTCAGCACAATATCCATGAGCCTAAATAATACGCCTAAATAATGTTTTTATTTAATCTAAAACAACACTCGTGACATTAAGTTCTTGCAAATAACATGACTCGCATGAAAAATAAGTCGAATCTAAATTAATGAGTCTGAGCGATTCTATATTTTTAAAATTGAAGATAAAATGTCATATAAACGCCGTAAAGAACTCATCAACCTTTTTATGCTAGAGTCAAGCTCATCCTCGAGTTACATTTATTCCAGTCTTTTCTTCAATCAGAATTATTAAGCAGAGACATATGATTTAAATTGCCTTATGCAAGCAGGCGCACAAAGGCAACATCGTCTCGCCCTGACATTGTCTTGCCTCTCCCACCCGTGCGCGCGTTTGATGCACTGCAAACATTTGTTACAGACTGACTTCGTGAAGGCGCTACATGCCTTCACTACCGCTAGATGCCTTCACTACCACTAGATGCCTTCACTACCACTAGATGCCTCCGCTCCCACTGGATTCCTCCGCTCCCACTGAATGCCTCCGCTCCCACTAGATGCCTTCACTCCCACTAGACGCCTTCACTCCCAATAGATGCCTTCACTTCCACTAGACGCCTTCACTCCCACTAAATGCTTTCATTTCCACTAGATGCCTTCACTCCCAATAGATGCCTTCACTTCCACTAGACGCCTTCACTCCCACTAGATGCCTTCACTCCCATTAGATGCTAGCACTTCCGCTAGATGCTGGCTCCTTAACATCGAATCACCTGCTACTTAACATCTGATCACCTGCTACTTAACATTGAATCACCTGCTACTTAACATTGAAACACCTGCTACTTAACATTGAATCACCTGCTACTTAACATTGAAACACCTGCTACTTAACATCTCATCAGCTTTTAACCAAATATTGAATCATGCACTGTCCACCAGCGGACCATTTGCTACTGAGCAATAAATTACTTCTACCCACGACTTATAATTACTTCTACCCACGACTCTACCCACTTATTTATATGATGTGCATCATTATTTACATGATGCGCATTACTATTTACCTGATTTACCGTTACTATTTATTTGATGTGCCTCACAATTCTATGATGTTTTCAATTATTTATATGAGATGCAATGATTTTGTACATGAGTCCGCTTCTACACAATATTTCTGAAAATTAGTTGTTGAATTCCAGGAATTTTTGATCAAAAAACAAATGAAATTTAGATTTCTGATGAAGAGCTAATTTCATTTAGCGGACACTTCAATTGCAGGCTATTGCAATAACTCGTGGTTATTTGATCACGTTATAATTCATAACTTAACGATGTTTATAACAAATAATGTTATGGAACGACCCAATCAGCACGAGGAACAATTATGTTGTGTTGGCATAGCTGCCATGTTTATGTCGGCGCAGATCATTTCAATTCGAGCACCGCCTGGCATAAACAGCATTTAATGCAATTAATTAGCTATCAATAACTTAATGAAAGGTACAACGTTATATGTAAATAAATTTGTATTGTTAAATTTAAATAAATTTAAATAAATAGATAAATCTAGATCTACTAGAAGTTACATCATTAAATAGAATTAAATCGATACTATTATTTCTAATTACATTCTCAGCATTAAATTTAATTGAACTTCAAACAGCGCATGCTATTCACTGAGATCAAGTATTCATGATCATGACTCTAAAATATTTTCATGATCATGGCTCTAAAATATTTTCATGATCATGGCTCTAAAATATTTTCATGATCATGACTCTAAAATATTTTTCGATGACATGTAAGAAAGGCTGGAGATGGCAATGAAATTCAATTCTTCACTTCTGAACAGTTTTTAGTATCTGCATAATATATATATGTATGGTTAATTAAAAATCTGGATTTAAAAATGATTACTCAAGTGTGAATTATTGCATAATGCCAGTCACTTACTGTTAATAATAATAAATTTGCTCATAGGTAAATATAAATTATATTATAGTAAATATAAAAATTATAGCCAATTCAGTTATATAGGTTACTGTTAATGCGGTGCAATAAGTCAGCCTGTTTTTCACGCCAACTTTTTTATTGTGAATTAAAATATGAATGAAAGTGCAAATAAATAAAATTAATAAAAGCTTTTATTATTTCATAAGTTCTTAGACCTTTTCTTGGGCTGAAAATTTATCATTTGAGTATTCAATCATTTCACCACATAAGCGTGTTACAAACTCCTCGTTTACATATATTAGTTTATAAAGTTGGTTGCGCACATCAGTTTGGGCGTCATGATCGTAATATGGGGCTGGTAAATACTGAATTAATTACCGTTTTGGAATTATAACGATTTTAAATGGTTAAAATTTTTAAATCTGTTGCACAGAAATACATTGGAATCAAAGCTACTGCATAGAAATGATATATACGTACAAATGCAAAGAACAAAATTTTTCAGATGTATTAAATGTTATAGCAACTCATGAGAAGCGTTTAACTGTGAAGTCCATTTTTATTTTCTCTATTGATGCCAATTAAAAGATCGAGTTAAACAAATATTCCTTTCAGGAAAAACTTAATGAACTTCAACTCAGAAGATGAAGTTTATAAAGAATGAACGGAGAGTAAAGAGCTATTATAGTGTGCAGGAAATGCTGATAATGATAATGCAATGCGATATAATATCGCGATCCAATATTGCACAGCAAACGCAAGTCAATTTATCGGTAGTGAAAGTTTTAATTCATTTGATTTCAAAGTTTCGCGTCGGAAATAATGCAGGGGAGGCGATTTTTGTTATTAGTTTCATAATTGAAGATAAATGGAGGAGATACATTAGTGCTAGAAATTAATAGCGAATGGAGGAAAGGCAAAAATATGTTTAATGTTGAGAATAAAAGATTTAACTATCGCTGCAGCATATCAAAAAGTTGGCATGAGTTAGACTACAGGGAATGGAGGCTAAAGGTCTAAGAAAACGAGTTTTATTTGAAGAATCTACGGTAAACAAATGATGATATAAGTAACTATATAAGGGTGAAGTTCGAGTTGTTTTTAGAATAACTTAATTACATCTGATATTAAATTAAAAATTATTTTTTGAATATGAATGATTAACATCGAAGTTAGAGAGACAAAAATTGAGGTAATTTCAATTAAACATGATCATTATTTAGATTATTTGCTAATGGAGACTACACTCATGCAGTTTTTTATTGTTGATAAACCTGGCCAAATAAAATATATTTACAACGTTTAAAAAACAAAATCACAGCAAATTTTAAGGTCAACAGCGCACGATAAAATTATAATTCCGTACACATTTAAACTGGCTTGCCGAGTAGACAGATTTAGAAACGAGCGTCAATGGCAATAGTTTTCTCCTTCCATGTATTTACCTTTAATTATTTTCTAGTCAATGAACGGAAAAAATTGAGCTTTTTTGCAGCGCTGCAGTGAACGACGACAGCGATTATTCAAGAGACGCACTACAGGCCGAAAAAAACGTAAAACTTTAGAAACAGAATATTTTACCGCAGCCATGAATGCTATCTTTGATGGCGAGAAATGGACGCTAGAGTTCGTCATTTTATAGACGATAACGTCGACACGTGAGGCGGGGGATGTAAATGTGTTCTTGTTTCGTAATTCAATAGATCTCAAGAATTTATAGTTAGATTCAATATTTAAACAAACTTCAGTCACAAAGAGGATAAAAAATTAGTTAGCAATTTGCAATTGAAGAGGTTTTATCGAGAGAAGTAATGACGTGCAATTTTCTTCATCAACAAGGTTTCAAAATATTCAGTAGAAATTTATGTTTTTTAGTAAAATTTATCTCGTACGGCGCATAAAAAACATTTATGTAGAATTTAATTTTTTTTTTCACAGAAATTCCGAGGAATACGCGCCTCAGCTCTTGCAAAAATACTTACCCTTACGCGTCTTGGTTGTGAATGGCCCTCTTGCTAGCCACTCTCAGTGTCCTCCTGGCGGTCGCGTGGTGAGGTCGTCGGGTGTCGGTGCTGCTGTGCCGGTGCAAGTGTTTGGTGTGCGGCACGCATGGCCTCTAATCGTTAACAGATGGCCTACTGAAACATTATTGTCCAGCCTCTGGTCTGGACCTGAGTTATGACTAGCCTGCCCCCCTGCAAATGAATGAGACTAAGTCTAAATAACTGTCTGTGTTAAAAATCATGCAGATAATTCGTTATAGTTGGTCCATTTCTAGATTACTTTTTAGAGCACTAGTAAAAAAAATCTTGGATTCAAGTGTTCTGAAGATTTCAATTAAACAGAAAACATATAAATTAAAAACGATAAGACTATATCATTTGAGCGGAAGATTACATGAACATAAACATTTTATGAATGAAATTTTTATACAAGTTGTTTATTGATAGGGAAACGATAATTATTTTGCAAACACTGTTTAGTTGTGCTTAAGAAATTTATGATAATCATTTGAACGTTTACAAATGTAAATTTTCCGGTCATGGCACTTTTTTGATAAACTTGTCGTCCGGACAGTAAACCGTTCCCGGTTTTATTACGTGCAGCTTGAATGTGTGGATGTGCATTATCTAGGGGGGTTTGCATCAAATGTTTTACATCAGAGGTTGTTACATAAAATGTTACACATCAATGGTTTTTACATAAAATGTTTTACATAAAAGGTTTTGACATCAATGGTTTTTACATCGATGATTTTTACATCGAAGGATGTTACATCAAAGGTTGCTACATCAAAGGTTGCTACATCAACGATTGTTACACCAAAGGTTTCTTACATCAAAGATTTTTCCTTCAAAGGCTTCTGCAGCAAAATGGTTCATCCTTGTGTTGCATCCATCCATCGTAACGCTTTTCATCCCTTTTAAGAAATTCACTTTATTTAACATGCCTCTTAAGAATTGCACAATTACACATTTCATTTGTCAAGGTTTTCCAGCGTTCGTATGTTTAAAATCTTTGAGATACACAATCAAAGAAAAATGCCCAAGTTATTGATAAGAGAATTGATTTTGAGAACCTGGTACGCTTAAAATTTTGAAAGATTTTATGCAGGAAAAATTAATTTAAATGGATCAACTCAACTCCAAATTTACTTTGCATCGTTGAAAAGTTAATAATTTCTCAGGTGGGCGATGCCTGGTTAAGTACAGCTGCTATATCATCGCATTATAAAACACACGTGAATAAAAATTGTCCTTAAAATGCTGTAGATTTGCATTAAATTTATTCATCAAAATTATTGCACGAGATCAACGGTCTTTTTAGCGCATTTTTTCATTTATGGAAAAAAGGCGCTATTGTGCTCGTCATGTTTGTCCGTCTGTCTGTCCGTCCGTGACTTGACGTTTTCGTCGACGAGAAAATGCGCTCTCTGTCACTCACTGCAGTGAGTACTGAGTTATATTTTTTGTGCCTTCGATGTCCTCCGAGCTAGTTTTGCCCGCCAGGCTCTTAATAACGGGTGGCTTCTTCGGCTTTATATGTTGCGCGCGCTATAATAAATATCATATGGAGAATACTGTTCTTTTCATACAAATATACTAAAAAATATATTCTCCGTATTAATCAACAGGATGTGTAGAGAACACGGAATATCTTGAGAACGGGCCGAAAAGTACAATAATATAACAGTATTAAAAGATTCGAAGGTTTATATCTTCTTCGACTCAGTATGACCGATTGATGGTAAGAAACCCTCACTGGTATCCATTAAACAAGACATCTGACGTCGATTCAACGTTAATTAAACGTTTATTCGTGAATTTACTGCCATTTAACGTTGTTTCAAACTAAATTGCCTAGAGAATAATTTAATTATTATCTTAATTGAGAGCGGATCGAATGACTGACGCGGTGGTGCATGTAGCGACCTGATGAACAGGTTTTGATTTTGATGAAAAACATCAATATCCAACATGTTATTTACAAAATCCCAATTGAATAATATTGATTATTGCCATGTACCTGAATTACAAATCATCTTGTAACTATAAATTTGTTCCTTGCGTGGGTTCCATTTTAATTTTAATACAAAATCTAGTTCTGATTTTTTGGTTCTCGGCCTAGTTTAATATTGAGAAAACTTCATTAAGACGAAATATACATAATAAGTTAAAATTTTACTATAATAATGTACGAGTATTAATAATACATTGACTTTAATTTTCAAGTTTTCCAGGTTTCCCTCAATTCAGTTCCATCTATTTTTTAACTGATGGAGACACACAGGTAGAATTATGGAATTATGGATTTACACTATATTTTATCATAACCCATATCCTATGATGGAGCAAGAAATTTTCCTACTTATTAACTAAAATTTTTTTAAAATTGAGAAATTATTTGTCACTTGTAAACATGACAAGTTTCTAAAATTTTATTGTTTTTTTAGGTTATATTAATTTTCTGATTTAAACTTTTTTAAAAAATTGTGAAAAAAATTGTCATTAGAATATCATAATTGATAGATTTTAGAAATATGTTCCTTATAGATATGAATTCCAGAATCGAAAATCAACCTTGCTAGAAAATTGATTAGATAGCATTGGACCATAACATATTTTTTCATTTGTCGTGAGGCATTCAATTTAATCCTATAGGCTTCAATTTATAACTTTTTTCAAACAATCATAGCTTGGAAATTGGAAGTTTGATGAATCGCGTGAAAAGATATTAATACGTACAAATTAAGCAACTTTTCGCTTCCACGCTCCAGACGAACTTTGATAAACTACTTCGATTTATTCCCTATGCTGTTCGATTCTTTTATCAAATACCGTTACGAAGTTCTATTCCTGTACTCTTAAAGGTTTTTCTTGCCTAACTGTTGCGGGCATTAAATCATTTACTTTTTAAACGTTTTTCTACTCGTACTGCTACGAGCTTTTCACCCCAATTATCCAATAAACTGTTCTATCCTAATAGTTGCTACCCTTACTGCCGAGCCTGTCACCGGCTGCAGTCTCATTTCTCTCACGTAGAAAGTCCGCTATTATTTTTTTGCTTTATCCTTCGTGGAAATTTGATCCTCACGATGGACCAATTCAGTCCATTTATATGCGGTTCAATCTTGCACATTCTAATTAATTAAATTCTAATTAATTAGAAGTGCATAAATTAAGTGCATTTATGCTACTGTGAAAATGTTTCACTCATATGCCCATTCGATTTCTATTGAAATTGGATTTTATTTATAAATATTTTTCTAAAAGGAAGCCCCTTATTTCTCAAGTTCTTGTAAAATATAGAATTCAAAACTTTGCGTTTTTATTAGGCAACTTAAATTGTGCGATCGGATAATGTGTCTAGAACTTGCGAAATGGATAGCGTAATTAAAACTTTGATCAACATTTGAAACGCAAGGACAACAGCAATACTGAGCAGGACCGGAATTAGCAACAATTCAAGATTGCGTTATTTTCTCGTTTAAGTAACGACGGATAAATTGAATAATTGATTGGTTTCTATGAACCAGTCGAAATTGGGGTCAAAATATGGCGTTCTAAATATGAGCCTAAATTTCGATGATAAATTGGGGTCAATATAAGTGGTTCTAAATGTGGGACTAAATCTATGCGATAATTTGAGGTAAAAAAAGAATCAACCTAAAAAAGCTGGGGACATAATATAAAACCTAACCACAAAAAGTCTTTAATAAATAGAAATTTATCTTGAATCCAGCGTTATTCATGTGCTTTATCCTATGGAGCAGGTGTTCTAAATCAGTTTTAATATTGTAAATATTCCAGCGATGATATTGAAACTCGACAGTAAACAAGAGGCTTGTCCATCAGAGAGACCTTCATATAGAAGGAATTCGCACAGCTCTCAAGCTAACATGAAGCTAACGTTAACATGAAGCCGTCGAAATATTTAAAATCGATATTATTCGTTGAAACATTTGTTATACGTTGAAACTGGCATCATTGGTTGAAGCAGTTTAAATAATTATTGTTCGTTGAAACCATTTTCTTACTTGAAACAGGTATTTTTAATTGAGCTCTTCATCATTATTTAATGCCATTTAAGCCGTCATTATTCACTCAAACCTTTAAACCTTTCTTTTTCGTTCAAACCCTTCAAACCGTACTTAATCGTTCATACCCTTTAAACCGCTCATATTCGTTCAAACCCTTTGAACCTTTCTTCTTCGTTCAAACCCTTTAAACCGTACTTAATCGTTCATACCCTTTAAACCGCTCTTGTTCGTTCTAACCCTTAAAAACCTTTTTTTCGTTCAAACCGTTTGAAACGTTATTATTCGTTCGAACCATTTAAACCGTTATTATTCATTCAAACCGTCATAGTCTCACTCTCACGACTGGAGTTTAGAGGTTGGCTGTAACAGCAGTATTTGCGATGTCGTGGACTTGCCAGAAAAAATTATAACGAAAAATAAAAATCTAGAAACCTATCCATCAGTCTTCTGTTAAACTTTTCAGCCAGCCCTGAATTCGGATTGGAATTCACTTACTATGATTGCATCAATATATATTCATGCTCCTACCACAACAATATTCCTTATTAATCCTTACAAATTCTAAAAGTATATAATGATGTACATTAGGTTTAGATGGCTTTTAACCTCAATAAAATGCAACACTGTTGATGCTTAGTTCGAAGTGAACAGAATATTTAAGGGAAACATTTGTATTCCGATTGCCTGTGCAGCGCGCGCCCGGATGTGCGATGTATTGTTTAACTGAGTAGCGTTGACTGATGAGCGGCAACGTCATGTCAGACTCAGCGAATTCTCAGTGCAAGCCGCGGCGGCAGTGAAGCAGAATCGTGTTTCGGAAATGACTGAAAGTAATTTGGGCCGCAGCACTCCAACAATGAGACGACTTGGCCAAAATGGAGTTTCTTTTTTTGTTCATGCACTCCAGAAAACCGGATACTCAATAACGCGCACTCTAATGATTCTCGCTCCGGCTTTAGAGAAGACGGAAACATCGAGCGGGTCCGAAAATGGAAAGTCGGAGAAAAAGTCTGAAGTGGAAAATATCTTGCTTTACGTTTGTCAAAAAAAGTTATGTACACATCCGTAGGAACTCGACTGTGCAAGTGACTATAACTTTAAGTGCTTTACATTTTTATGGTCG